GTTTATTACAAACAGTTAGCTCTTAAATAAATTCACAAAGTATCTCAAATCATATGTCAAATAACTCAATTACACAAGATTTTACTATTTTAATGATCCATAATGGTGAAAAACACCTTTAAGCACAGATATATTTTACTTTAAATGAACCTGAGCTGCTGTTTCACTGCAGATTAAAGACTGATATCCACACATCAGTCAGCAGGTGTGTGATGTTGCTCTGACCAGCAGGGGGCGCTGCCAGCTCCCCTCACAGGGAAACTCTCCCAGGTAGTGTCAGTGATTTCCAGTAAGACCGGTGGCTCCAGCGTTCCCCAGACCCCCTGTGAAGCACTCTGATCATCAATCAGTTATCAGCTACAAAGAGATCAGTTAGTCACGTCTTCATGTTAATATCAGAGGAAACTGTGATGATAGGATCAGCAGGAATCAGACAGGCGGTGAGCAGTGTTCCCTCTAATGTTTCATGTGTGTGAGCGAACACACAAACTCCTGAGCTTGGACCACTGTGAGCAACATCACACGTGTGCACTGTGGTCACGCCAGCATCACATCCATCCAAGTTACACGGTTTATTAAAAGAATCAAATTACAGCATTTATGTTAGTTTAAGTGCTTTAGCCCACTTACAGTGAAAATGACAGAGTTCATGACCTGTGGAGTGTGTTAACACCAATTGAAGTGAAAATAACTTGAACTCCATTTTTGAAAACACTGACTGGTTTTGTGAGTCAGCGTGAAGCTCCGGCTGTGGTCTGGAGAGTCCTGCAACTCTTCGTCTGCAAAATATAGTAGACAAAGACCAACGGTCGACATTTTACTGTGTTATAAGAATATGAGCAGACATATTTACACTTCACCCAGCCGGCCGTGGCACACCACAGTATCTGTTACTGGGTAGGTGAAGAGCTGGCAACACTACAAGTGATGTCAGCAGTGATGTCAGCAGTGATGTCAGCAGTGACGTCAGCAGTGATGTCAGCAGTGACGTCAGCAGTGATGTCAGCAGTGATGTCAGCAGTGACGTCAGCAGTGACATCAGCCGTCTCCCAGAGATGAAGAGGAGTCTGCTCCACACTGAGATCTGTCTGACGGAGGGTCGGATCAGGACAGGGTGGAGTTCCTGTCTGTGGTTGGGGATGCTCTGGTGGAGGTCTTCTCTCTGCAGAGCTGCCCAGTCTCAGCAGTCTGGGAACCACAGCTTCATGTTGGGGATAAACTGGTGAACAGTGGACGGACACGTGACTGCTCTGAGTGATTTTTACCTTCTGGTAGAAAGAGGAGGGATGTAAACATCTAATTAATTTTTCTGTTTCTGTGTTTCTTCTGTTATATTTGGGTTTGTGGGCTGTTTGTGTCTGACCATCTGTTCCCAGGCTGATGTTCTTCATCGTCCTGCAGATGAAATGACTCACGCTGCTCTGAGAACACATTTACTCACAGTTTAGTCTCGTTTGAGCCGCGAGCGGGTTTTTATGTTTTGATTGTTTTCTGGAGGAGACGGAGGAACAAACACAGAAAGTCGAACCATGTGTGACGTGTTTTCAAAGCAGTCAGCTTTTTCCACTGAGCGCTCCCAAACACGAAGCTATTCATCTGATCTGGATTCAGTTTGGTGTCCCACAGACTGCAGCTGGAGGAGCGTTTACCGGCAGAAAAATATCTGCGACAGCCTGAAGACACAAACAGATCTGATCCTGAAGCTGCACGCGTCCCACAGGACGATTTAACCAGCACCGACATCAGACAGCAGCTCAAACACTGAACAGAACGGTTAGACTCCTGCACACAAAGTCATCTATGGTGCACCTCTGTGAAGGTCAATGCTGAACCATATCTGCAGGTGCAGGAGCAACATCTGCTCCCACTCCAGCAGCACGGCTCCAGACTGACCTGACAACAGGCCACACCTTCACTGCAAGCATCTGCAGCCTCATGACACCAAAACACAAAACAGACGCTGAGATCAACACCAAGGAAACATCAGGTCTCAGCTCAGAGCGAACAGCATGAGACGCTGTTAATCAATAACACTGATCAGTTTGTTCCTGTGCTCTCGGTTTCTATTAAAGGATTCACTGCTTTTATTTTGTTAACACAGGGCTGGGTTTTATTTTGACTTCACAAACAGAAATCATCAGTCGAGTTTCAGAGAAGACAAAAGCACGAAATGTTCCTGACACCAGAAAGCGTGAACGTGATCCAGATGTTCATGATTCAGAGGCACAGCAGCAGCTGGATGAGACTTTATTCAGAAACAGGATTATTGGTACAAACATGATGGTGAAACAGACCCGGGGCCTTCTGAGGGTCGAGTCCACGCCTCTCGTGGACGAAGGCCGCTCCGAGCACGGGTTGTTTCAGTCTGTTTCTCATTAGCGTTAGCAGGAAGTGCGACGTCGCACGTGTGGGGATGAGCAAATGGGCAGGGGAACTCTGCGCTCAGTGCTTCCTGTCACTCCGGCTCTCTCTGATGCGGCTTTGCCGTCGTTTCTCGTTCAGCAGCTGCTGGATGCGTTTGTTATGCGTTCGCTCGTGGACCTGAGGCATCCGCGGCACAAAGTAATTCTGCTGTCCTCGGCTAACGTCGCTGTCAAGTCCGACGATCTGGTACTGGACCTCGTCCACCGAGTTGTTCTCTTTCTTTGGTAGCGAGAGGAAGGACGATGAAGGTGGCGCCGGTTCAGCTTCGGTCAGGTTGACTTGACTTTGGAGGCTCCGCCCTCCTGAGGATGTGGTGTTGTCACCAGGATCAGGCGACGATGTGGTGGAGAACTCTGGGATGGCAGGAGTCCAAACCGGCGCCGGCGTTTGGTCTTCAGTGTCAACCGTCTCCATGGTAACTGCAGCAGGGGGCATTGTGGGAGAATTCTTCCTGAACACGTGTGGAGCAGTTTGTGTAGTAACAGTTTTACTGTCAGCGGTGGTTGGAGTACCCGGAAGCTCCAGACCGGAGGAATCCTCGTAGGAAGCGTACTCGCTGTACTCATCATAATCCACGTAGACAAAGTCACTGGTGCTCCGTCCGGTTGGGGGCGGAGTTACAGTGAAGCTGCGCGTCGGGGTGGTGGTCACAATGTCACGAAAGACATCACTGATGGCACGGCCGCTGTCGGACCAGGTGGAGGTGAGCGCTGATGTCTCTGTGGTCAACCTCCAAGAACTAAAAGACAAAAACAGAGTTCAGGTCTATGCCCCGCCCTAATCCCGCCCCTGCTTCCTGCTGTAAATGAACACTTCAGTGTAAAACAGCAGTTTCACGGTCAGCTCACTCCTGCTTTACACTTTTATTTGCAGCTTTGTCGATGTATCACACATCTGTCTGACTGGTTTTCCCCGTGTTTGGGACTCAACTATATCTTTCTAACATTCCTGTTGCTGTCATGTCTGACCTGCTGCTCTCCGTCCGTGTGATGGTGCCACTGAAGTTGCTGGAGATTCTGGATTTCGTGGCATTGTTGAAGTTATCCTCACTACAGGACTTGCAGCACATCTGGCGGTATCCGATGATAGAGCAGTACCGACTCAGCGCCTCCATTCGACAGAACGCCGAGCGGTCGCCGCGGCACGGCTGCCCTACAGACAGAACAGTAGGACGGTGTGAATCCTGACACGTA